GTTTAGCCAGAAAATGTCTAAGCTTTTAGAACTTGATGACACAGAAAGCGCCCATCGAGTTGCAAGAGGCGCACGGAGACGGCACGGCCCTACAGAACCTGATCAGCCCGCTCCACGTACAACTGTACGGTCTGCTTCAGCGGCACGGGCGCCACGGGCGCGGGCGGGGCGGCGGTTTTGGTCCACGAGTTCGCCGACCGCGACCTGAGAAGCCCGAGGCGGCCCCCGTCATTGCCCGCCCCATCATCGTCAGAGGCCGCATCCAGCTCAGCAAGATCAGGAATGCGTCGCAGAAGTGCGAGGTGAGAATCTGCAGCATCCCCACCTACGACCTGAAGGCCCCAGAGCGCCAGAAGATGCACGCCTGCCGGCAGGAGCGCAGCCAATGGGCAGCGGCGCCCCCACTTTAGAGGCTCTTCATCACCCCCAGCGACTTCAAGTTCAGCGACAACCTCAACGAGAGCTTCCTGAGACCTCGGGCTCGCATAGCTCGAACCTCGACAGAAGGACGGGCAGACCAGGGTAAACTGTTTCGGGGGCAACTGGTCAATAGCTCGGCGACACGTAAGAGTGACCCTAGGCAAGAGTGCCCTGTGGTGCGCGGCCTTAGGGGGGCCCGCGGGGGCCTGGAGCAACCGCGCAAGCCGAGGCCGTCGGATTGCATCAGCGATCGGTGGGGCGCGCTTCGATAGATCCCTAGCGCTTGCAGGCAATTGCGGACTTCCGCCAATTCGTTCCAGGCGCCCCAGAACACCCGCCCGAGGGCTCTGCAAAGCCAGACGTAATCGGGCGCCACCGCGGAATGTTCTGGAACTGTCGGGCCGCATCGCGATGACGTCTGACCGGGTCCGGCGTCAAGGCCGAAACTTGGCCCACCCGCGGCCGCAAATAATTTTCAATTGTGAAGAATTGAGTTGTAAAGGTAGTCAAAGTTAGTCAAAGTTATTCCAGGACGGTTTGAGACTGGTCCCAAAGCGGAGAGTACGTCGCCCGCTCGACTGGGCCCCCCCTCGCCAAACGAAGCACGCGGCAGAATACACCGTGCATGCGTTGCGATCGATTGCGAGGGGAGCACCCTGAATCAACCGCGCTCAGATGCGATCGCAGACCGGCGCAGCGTGCGCCGACGCGAGGCCGAGCGCACTCCTCAAGAAAATCTCTCCGACCCCATCAGGGCCAACACTAAAGGTCATTCTGGCCAAGGGTCACTCTTACGTGTAGCGATTATGACGGAGATTGTCACACCTGCCCCAACACACTTCGATAGGCACACGGACCAGATGACTTACATCGATTGAGTGTTTACCTCGATCCCGCCACACTAGATGAGAGAGATGAAGATCGCGGTGAACAGCCGCTACGACGCGAAAGACTCGTCGCAGTGGCGCGCCAGCGACCGCGCCATCATCGAGCTGAAGCTGGAGACGCGCAGGGAGTACGCGAGGGCATAGCAGGGGCTCCAGCTCCCATCTTTAACGCGACCACGTACCAGAAGCAGTTGGACACCCTCCTCGAGGCCTGCTTGCTGAACGCCATGAGCGTGCACGAGCAGTGGAACTGCGCGAAGAGACAGATGGCGCTCACGGCGGAGAGCACGCGCAACGCCCTCCGGCAGACTGCCATCGGCGACGGCTCCGAGGACGACCTGGAGGCCCACCGCAGGCGCACCGCGCGATCGCCCACGCCATCTGGTGGTAGGACAAGCGCCTCGCGACCCGTCTCATCGAGACTACGGCGGCTGACAACACCCACTTCAGGATCGACGGCCACCGCATCTCCTTCTCCGATCCGGCGCGCTTCGAGGCCGATGTACACGCGGCCAACGTGGCGCGCAGTGAGCGGGCGCTGCAGCGTGAGGCACTGCACCCTCGCCGCAGCGCCGCTGAATGCGGTCGCTCCAGGGATGCTCTGGATTGGCGGGCCCTCCTTTGGAAACCCCAGGGCCGTCGCCTAGTCCCCCAGGGCATCCTGCGCGCCCAGGAAGGCCACGGCGACGCGATCCTCCGAGGAAGCCAAATCATCACTGAAGCCATTACAGAGGGCATTGGGAGCCTGTTTTAAGGAGCGAGTCGAGGACACCCCAGACCAGGATGCCTGCATCGAAGCCCATGCACCACCCTTCGCCCCCTCTGAGGTGATTGATCCTTTTTTCCCCGAGCTCGAGGATGCCCGAAGGGCCCTGCGTCGGGGCATGTGCTTCCGCCCCCGGGCCCCGACAGGCTCGCGCAGAAGGCCTGGCTGGCTCGCCTGACACTGTCCGTGGTCTTCCACGGTCTCCGTTTTTGTCTTTCTCTTCCAGGGCGTTCCCCCCGCCCCCCGAGTATTAATCGCAGTTTCTTCGTCTTCATGCCGAAGGGCGATGGAGAGCTAGTCCTCATCGGCAAAACGAGACAGCCTGGCCAGCTTCGCCCGCCAAACCTCAAGAATTGCGATGCCAAGGCCATGGCCACGAGCGTAAATATGCGTCGCAAGCACGTGGTAGAACGGCACGCACACGAGGTGCCGCAAGGCACTATCATTGGCAGAAGCGTCGCTCGACACATTGTCCGACAACAGAATAGCGAGCCTAGGCGATGATGCCGGGCAGCGCATGCCAGTGTTCGTGAGTTTCGAGGTGCGTGCCGCGCTCCCGTGCATGAGCCAGATCTGGCAGCGCAAAGCCCTTGCCCAGTTTAGGGCCCCAGCTGTCGATCGCTGCGCGATTGGCGCTCTCATGACTGATGCTCTGGGGTTTCTCAGGATCGGACCCGCGATCGATGGGGATCTTCACAATGTCTTCGGGCGTCCCTCAGGGGCGCCCGCTCTCTGGGACCCTGTGGGCTGTCGGGCGCGCAATCGTGTTGGCGATCGAAATTGCGGCGGCTCCAATGAGGATGTTGGCGCCTGCGCTGACGACGTCGGCGCGGCCCTCCGCAGCGTCATACTTCTCCGAGCGCGCCCCCCCTCTTTCGAGGCTGCTGCTGCCCTTGCTGGCCTCCGCCTCCAACCAGAGAATTGCTGTCTGGCGCCGCTGTGGAGCCTTGCCACAGAGGAGATAGTCGATAGGATACGTGCTTTCCTTTTGAGCGAACTGGCCCCGTGGTCCTCTTTTGCGATGCCCTCTTCTGCCAAGTATCTAGGGGTCCTCATGGGCCCAGGAGTTTCGCTTGCCGATGTCTGGGATGCTGCTCGGCCAAACTGGCGGGCGCGGGAGACGGGAGGGGGCAGGGCGCCCGCAGCGGCATCCACCGCCCTGCATAACGTTCGTTGTACTTCTGTGCTCTCGCACCTCGCTCAGTACTTTCCGATCTCTCCTCACATCCTGCGCAAAGCAATTGGGGCCCTTCACAAGATGCTTAGGTTGCCGCGGAACCTTCTCAAGTGCAGCGAGCTCTTCCGCACTCGCGCATGGCTCCGAGCTGGGGCCCCCCATCCGGCCCCGGTCCCGACAGTTGCCGCCGGCGGGAGGATGGCGAACAGGACGTTGGCGGGATGGTGGACGTGGTGGCTTGATCGGCGCGAGGAGGCCGTCCTCCAGCATGGGGCGGTCGCAGATCTAGTTCAAGGTACAGCGCCCTTTTTGTTAATACATGCCCCGCGTGCGGATCATGTATTGAAAATGCAGGGATGCAGTCTTAAAAACAACGATGAGCTCATGCACCAATTCATACATAAACTAATCATGTATCACAAATCCTAGATTTTAAAAAAAAATCCCATGTATTAAACATTGCCCTGTATGTTGGTGGTCGGCTCCGCGCTGGGCCATCCAGCGCAGCGCTGCACAGCAACTCTTCGGGGCCTGGGCAGGCAGAGCGACGGGCAGCCTCTCCCAGTCCCCCCCCGCTGCCCACGCGATCCCCGCGGGCGCGGCCCCCGCGGGCGCCGAGCGAGAGCGCGAGGACGCCGAGGAAAGGCGCCAGGAGCTGCAGGCAGTCGGAGCAGCAGACGGTCGGAAGGTGGAGAGGCACCTACTTAATATCAGGAGGGAAAAAAACACAGACACATTCAATCGTCGCCTCCCAGGAAAATATTGGAAACTATGGGAATTGGGCGGGAAGACAGAAACCCAGAAAATATGAGAAAATATAGGGAATCTTTTTATTTGCGTGTATTTATTTGTGTGTCCTGGGGCCCCTTCATTTATACCCAGCCAGCTGGTTCCCCGATCACTGCTTGCACTGAAGGGGTCCTAGCGGATGTCGAAGGATTTCGCGAAAGTTCCCCGCCGATTTTGGTGGCAGGCTGGGTTCCTGGGTTCCCGTGTTCCCGGTTCCGGGTTCCCGGGTTCCCGGTTCCGGGTTCCGGGCCGATTTCGGAGGGCGGCGAGGCTCCCGGGTTCCCGGGTTATTGGTCGATCTTCTTATCGATCGGTCTCACCATCGATCGCATTACCGACTTCTCGATCGATCTCACCATCGATCTCACAATCGATCTCGCTATCAAACTCACAAGCGATCTCACTAGAGATCGCATGAGCGATCTCGCGATCGATCTCACGATCGATCTCATTGAATCGATTTCACTCTCGGTCTCACGATCGACCTTACAATCGCCCTCACTATCGATTCCACTATAGATCTCATTATCGATCTCACAATCGATCTCAAGATCCATAGTATCAATTTTTCAAATCATCTGCTGCTGATTGGGGTTTTCTCAGCTGTAATGGGGTCAGTGTGGCGGTTGACCACGCCAGGACCGCCAGGACCGCCGATCTCGGCGCGCCGGCATGCAATCCCGTTTCTCTTCCCCGACCGGCTTCACCTCCTCTTCCATCGCCGTTGTACTTCTTGGCTTTCCACCCCTGTCCTTGCTCCCGAAGAGCTGAGGAGGCGGTGGGAGGCTCTGAAGCCCGTTTTGCAAGCCTCCTCCCCCATGCGAGCGTGGGCGCACCTCAAAACCTTAGGCGGACGTTGGGTTACATCCCACAGAATTCACATTTTGACCCCGCGGCCTCAACTCAGTCCCCCTCCTCCCGCCTACCGCCCTCTTTCTCCATCGCTCCGACCCTGCCCTAGGCTATGATGTGCAAGAGGAACGTCGACTTGTACGCGGAGTCCCTGCAGCGGGTAGCGCAGGCTCGCCGCTCCCCCATCCCCCGCCTTCGAGGAAGGGAGGGAGGGAGGAAGAGGAGGAGGAGGAAGAGGAGGGGGAGGAGGAGGAGGAAAAGGGCGGAGGAGGAGGAAAAGGGGGGTGGAGGAGGAGGAGGAGGAGGAGGAGGAGGAGGAGGAGGAGGAGGATAGGAAGAGGAGTGAGGAGGAGGAGGAGAGGAGTAGGAGGAGGATAAAGAGGGAAGAGGGACGAGGGAAGAGGAGGGGGAGGAGGAGGATGGGAGGACGAGGACGAGGAGGAGATGAGGAGAGACGAGGAGGGAGCACAGAGGAGGGAGGAGGGAGGAGGGAGGAGGAGAAGGGAGCAGGAGGGAGGAGGTATCGGTATCGGTATCGGTAAAAGTCGATTCGCTGCCGGTGACGCATAGACCCCAACCGGGTCATTTTGAAGATTTATGGGCGAACGGGTCCCAGCCTGTATTGGGGACCCGGTCAAACAGGGAGCCGGGCTGAGGATCGAGGCCGAGGGCAGCGCGCTGTCGCTGCCACTTCCTCTCATTGGCAGCCTCCCGCCTCCTGTGAATTAGGGCCTTGAGTTTAGGGGGGAGCTCTGGCACAAGGGGGTGGGCATGGAGAGGAGGGGAGAGGATGAGGCCAGGGGCCCACGGTGCGGCCTCGGCCGCCATGCTGGCGGCAGTGACGTACCGCTCCTCGTCGCGGAACGTGTCCTCCTCGTCGCTGACGCAGTGGCGTCGGCACGGCGTTGGGCTCAAATTTGACCCGTCAAGTCCAAGCTCGTAGGGCTCAACACGCTGGTCGAATCGAGGATCATGTTTCTTCCGTCTCTGGTCAAATACCGAGGAATGTTGGGCAATAGCAGTATTATGATCTACATGCGGGCCCAGGGCCTGGAAGAGCGAGCTGAGTTCTCGGGCAGGTCCGACGTATTCCAATCAATACCTGTGGCACTCCATGCCCAGTCCAAGTAGTCATGAACAGCACTAGCTATGGCGTCGCACATGGCCGGATGGTATCGCTTTGGGGGGGCAGGCAGTTTTCCATGTACTGTCCCGCCCCCTGCCTTCCAGAACCCTGTGGGATTTACGAGGGTGCGCACATCTTCCATCACATCCGGTTCCACGAATCGTGCCCCCGGAGCTCGGGGTGATGATGATGATGATGATGATGATGATGATGATGATGAGGAGGAAGAGGAGGAAGATGAGGAGAAGGAGGAAGAGAAGGAGCAGGAGGAGAAAGAGGAGAAGAAGCAGATGAAGGAGGAAGAGGAAGAGGAGAAGAAGGAGAAGGAAGAGGACGAGGAGCAGGAGTACGCATAGTTTTTTGGTTCCAGCTCCGCAGCCTGACAGCCAGAAGGGTTGTGGGAGCTTTGCTGGCCTGGCCGAGTAATTGCACTGGTCGGAACCGATCGTCTGGGTGGCGGGCGCAGCGGCGATAGCCTTCGCGGCGTCGAGCTCCCAAGAGATTCAGGAGGGGAAAAACACACAGACACAAGTAATCCTCGATCCCCAGGAAAGTATGGGAAAATATGGGCAGTGGGGGAAGACAGAAATCCCGGAAATATCGGAAAAGACGGTGGAGCCTTTTGTTTGTGTGTATTTACTTGTGTGTCCTGGGGCCCCTTCAGAGATGGGGGCCCTGGGTTCCCACCACGCCTTCTCCTTGGCATCGCTCGGACGTGCGCATTTTTTCCCGGCGAGAACCATCGAGGAGCATCCTTGATCATTTGGCGAAAAAGCCACGCGCGAAACCGAAGAAAAACACAGGGAATGGACGTCCGAGCGATGGCCAGTCTCCGGATGTTCCGGGACCCCACAAGCCCCCACCTGAAGACAGACCGTGAGGAGGTGGTGGGCCTTGATGAGCAGCTGGCTGCCCACAGCAAGCTGCCAGTGCTGCATGATAGAGACGCCGGGCCTCCCCCAAATGTGTCGATGCGTTCGCAAAGGAGGAGGGCCAGCACCAGCAGAATCCATAAGCCGATTCCATCTGACGGTTGACCAGGACTCGCACGGCGGGCCTCCAGCTATGCCGAGGGCGCGTCCTGATCTGAGATGGTCACACCATTACAATCGAGGGCTTCGTGAGGTCTCTGAGGTTGGGGTCCAGGATCCAGGGAAATCACAACCACCGCCCAGGGCCCCGAAAGGAGCACACGTTCGAGGCTTTCTTGAAGGTCCCCAGGTCGCCGAGCTCCAGGAAAAAAGGTGCACAAACGCGAGAACAGAAGATTGAACTTCCCTTGGAAGCTGATCTGCAGGGCCCCACTCGTACTCCTCAGGTCTGAAGGGCCACTCGTCGTCGTTGGGGTCCTGGGCGTCGTCGACATCAATGGTAAGGGGCCTGTCTGGGTCGGCTTGGTACTCGGATTCCTTGATAAGGGCCCAAGCTTCAGCGTACGACATGTTAGTCTTGATAGTGCGATCAACAGCTCCAGGAACTCTGCAAGCTGGGACAACCGCCTCGCGACGCATTGCACCTTTTGGCCGAGCCACCTTCCTTGCAGCAGTTTCGTCCAGGGCACATTGCTCTTGCTGGGTTGTATCCACGGGGACAAGATGCAAGAGGTCCGACAACATGCAGCGGGGGTTGCCATCTGCCATGTGGACCACCGCGAGTTCCTGGGTCCCGTAACATGTCAAACAGACTGGACAGACCTGAGACGCCAAGTACCTAGCTGCAAGACGGCGATGTTGGACGTGCTGCGACGAAACGTGGGCCCGAAGCGCAGCTGGTTTTGGTGTGTGGTATGGGCATTAGGGGCACAGGTAGCGCTTAGGGGGTAAGTTAGGTACGTTGAGTCGATGACAAGGGACTCCTTCCTCGTTCGCCTCCTCCAACATATCCTTGATACGATGCTGTGCAACAGGATTTTTAGCCTGCCAACGAACGCGGGCAGCAACGGCGTTCGCAACTTGATTGGCCCATGCCTTGCCGGGCTTGCATCTATCCGCCTCCCACTTGGTGAAATCGCCAAAGTGTGTGTGTGTGTAGGGGGGGGGGGGGGGGGGAAAACCATGATATTCCGAAACTCTGCCACGTATCCAGCACAGGTCTTCGATAATAGGTGAGTGCCACGATCCCTTCATGCTGGCGGTGAGTCAAATGACCGCGAACAGGTGCGGGGGTCCGTACCTGTAGAGCCTCGGGAGGTACCGAAGTCTATGCCAGCGAAGCAGTGTAGGTCAAGTCTGGGCGGTTCGCCATGGCCAAAATGGCCTCGTCGCTCTGGGCATTGGGGTCGTATGCCAGTGGCCCAAGCGCCGAACGGTAAAGCTTCAAAATCTGGGTATCATATCTGCGACACTGCGCCACTGTTGGCGCATGCCAGACACTAGCGGTGTAGAGCCTGCCAGACATGATCAACACATCCGCCAGCATTAGCTTGTCCGAGGTGGGGAGGGGCTGGTTCTGGAAAGCGACCTGTCTGAGAGGTCGGTGGGACCCTGCCGTGGAAGTGGCCAGCTCGGGCCCGAGATCCATCTTGTCGGAGACAATGCACCCAAGATGTTTGTAAGTGTGGACCGCCCCAATAGTCACCCCATCCGGACAGGTCGTCGAAGATGGAACCGATATTTGCCCAGAATACTCCAGCCAAAACTGTCTGCGGGCCGCCACGGACCGCTGCCCCCGAAACGTAAGCGTAGTAGTTGTTTGATTCGGTCCCATATTAAGTCTTAAACCAGCTGGCGTGAACGCGTTGACGACAATGGCCGAAACGGCCTGCAGCTGCTGAACGAGTAGCGCGGCAGTGGCAAGCACGAAATACATGCAGTCATCTACGTAGTTGGCGCCGTCGGCCGAGACCGTAGTGTCATCGGGGACCCCGATGTCAAGGGTCTTGCGAGTGGAGGACGGGAACTCACAAAGGAGGTGGGCGTGCTCGAGCGCCTGATGAGCCTGGTGAAGGCACCTGGAGATAATGAACAAAAGCACCTGGAGGCTAAAGTGTTTCAGGCGGAGTACGGTGGGGGCGTTTGTCAAGGAATGTGCCCAGAAGGTTTCAGACCCTGAAGGATTCCCTCTATGATGAGGGCGGCCGTGATACCCATTGCGAAGCCTCAGTTAGTGTTCCACCGGCGTCCAAATCCCGGAGTCCTTATCTAAGGGTTCCTTCTCCAATGCCCTCGCCGTATAGCAGCACACTGAGCGCGGAAGCGGCCTGGCCCTCAGGGATCGCTCAGGATCCGAAGCCTGCCGACACCAGGCACCCGGGCGTGCATGGCAGGGGGGGGCACGCCAAACGTGGGCTTTGCCCGAGCAGCGGCATGAGAGACGGAGGTGCGGCCCAGGCGGCGCACACACACACACACACACACACACACACTCGGGGGCGGAAAAGAGGGGGGTGATGACTAGGGGGGGGTGGATATCATGGCGTGGGCCATGATATTTCCCCAGATTTCATGGCGCCTCTTCTTCTTCTTTCATTACGTCCCTGGCCCCCCCGCTGGGCCGCGCACATGCCGCCGGTCATGATTTGCACCCCCCCTCTTGGACACCCCCCTCTTGGCCGCTCCCGACACACACACACACACACACACACACTCGAGCGCTGGTCTGTCCAAGCAGGACGGCCTCGGAGGGCAGGGCTGGACCTAAACGCTGTGTTGCTGTGTCTCGTTCTGGTGGCGAGGAGCCGGAGAACAGACGGAGCAGAACGAAAAGCAAGACGAGAACAGAACGAAAAACAACGCTTGGGTCCAGCCCTGCCGGAGGGGTGCCGCAGAGGTGGGCGCACGGGGTTCTGGAGGCAACGAAAGCTCGAGTTCACGCAACTGCCAACGCTCTGGGAGGGCCGTGCGGTCGCCGACATGCACGTGTTGTCGCCCCTCATGGTCTCCGAGTCTGTTGCCGCTGGCGAGTTCACAGGGATGCCGTTCTGGCTGCACTAGTCATAGGCCTCATGACCACCCCAAGAAAACTCCGAAGCCCATCGATACCCCCAAAAGCCTCACAACAAGTCTGCCATCACCCACTCAATCAACTTCTCCCTCCTCCTCCTCC